TAATATAGTGCAGTGGAGCTATGTGATAATTCGAAGTATTTGAATTACTGAATTAACTGTGAATCCTCGTAATAGTACAATTTAGACTGAAGATGGCACAGGTATTCAGGGTTTGACAACGCTTTTACCAGTAACACCTTCTAATATAATTTGTACCCACCGAGAGAAATCAAAAGACAGAGTCGAGGAGATCGGACGAGTGTATTTGGCGATTACCAATATATCGGAATTCTCTGATCTAATCTGGCTAGCGGTTGCGGTATATGTTGATCACAGCGTTACCACACGTGATCTGGTGCGAATGCCTGACCGAGCGCCCTCAGCTAGATGAGTCCACTAAAGCTAATCTGGTCAGCATCCAATGTCGGAAACTTACAGAGCTATTTATATTGGGGATTTATTTACCGCTACAGGATCAGGTACAACTAGATGAGCACAAACGAACTCATTGTATTTAAAATGAGAAACCAGGCAGACACCAAGTACAAAAGAATCATTAGTTCATACAAATGTAGGGTGCAGTCGAGTCGAATTTGACTATGAACACCATTACAAAGAAACGGGTGCCAGGACATCCATAAAATCCCCCGGAAGCCAAATATCCGAAGGCAGTTAATGGACCATATCGAGATATATTTGCTGGCGATCTCGTGGTATCGAAAGAATACCGAGATCGTTACAGGATACAAGCTTGATTACTGATCGTAACCATATTCACGCGAGGTCACAATCGAAGTAAGTATAATAGGTGTTTTTAGCACAGTTAAACAAAGAGCACATTAAACAGTCACTGGTACAATTGGTTATAATAATAATTGTTTTCATTAAAACAATCGTGTTCTCGAGATAAAAATAAGTCACTACACAAACACCAAAGTTCGTCTCGCAGTAGTCTGTCGTCACCGCTTATTAGTTACTTTTATTTTATTTTTCCTCTTTATTTGTCATGATTTATTTTTCAAAATCATCTCTAAAACCTATTGATTTGATACAAACGACTTATCTAACCTTGTGGGACAGTAGAGACAATGTAATAGCTTGCTGTACTAGACATGCACCATTGAATAAAGTTATTATTATTAGGCGAGAAGGTTAGTTCAGAAGATTACATATCAACAAAATCAGCAAAACACGAAAGCGATACTAGGATTCATTTATGCATTAATTACTTTACTTCCCTTGTGCTGTGTAACATTATACTGAATTAACTCCTGTCATCAAGGATTGTGGAAAAATAAGACTCGAAAATGAAATGCTATTTTGAATTGGCCAAAATAGTCATTAATTAATGCTAATATCCTAATTTATTTCCTTAAACTGATCAAAATCTCATGTCGTAATGCTGACATATCGGACATTTTAGCTTCACAAAATTTTTAACTTATACGGTTTGTTTCTTCCCAAATAAATCATACTTTTTAATGTACCAAATTTACTTAAGTAAATTACTACTGCCAAAGTGACTGTTAGATCTGTTGAAGCGTCCAGGTCACCCGATTGAGATATGCGCAAAATCGAAGTTCTCAAAACAACGATTTGTCTACAATAGCGGTTCTTTATTGAACAATACACAAAAATTAGTTTCAAACCTCAACTTCTGAGATGCCTCAGGCGTTTAAACGCGTCCTTTTGTATGAAATAAAAACACTACTTGTAACACTAGCGTAAAGAATAATTGCAATGTACGATGGTACAAAGGACAGCTGATAGCAGTGTCTAAAGTCGATAACACTTAACCAACAACCAAAACCTGAACCAAGAGCAAAAAAAATATTAAAACTGTTGCGTTTAAACAAATGCACAAAACTGAAGATAACCGCCACAGTGTTTAAGGCAAAGTAATTATAATGATGAATACAATGATAAGTACAATAAACGTTATAAGTATAAGTAAATATTTCAGAATATTACACGACAGCTTGAGTTACAACATAAGTCTAAAAATTACTGGGCATGCATTTTCTTACTGAATATAAATAAATAGTATAAAACAATATACAAAAGACTAAACGAGAAGTGAGTAAGAACGATGTAAAACAAACTTAACAGTAACTATATATTTTGACATTAAAAAATTCACTGACCAGCTTGTAGAGCCTTCAGTGCCAAGTATGATTTTAGTTCGTCTTCTATGTGGAAGTACCCATCAATCCAATAATTTTAATGGTTGAGATCATGAGTGAATTGAAGCTAAACCACCATGGAAGGCATGGAATCAGTGGACGGCTGTTTCGTCTTATTGTGGGACTCCTCAGCAGTGCGCATCCACGACCTCGCCTCTCGGGATTCGGACCCAGGCGAGGTCGTGGATGCGCACTGCTGAGGAGTCCCACAATAAGACGAAACAGCCGTCCACTGATTCCATGCCTTCCATGGTGGTTTAGCTTCAATTCACTCATGATCTCGACCTTTGAAATTATTATAATATCCACAAAACCCTTCTCTAATTAAAACCAATAATTACTTCTTTTTTTATTGATCTGATAAACGAATATAATAATACATCTATTGATTCAGATCTTAAAAAATAAAATCAGATCGAGTTCAGGATTATAAGTAATGATTCTAATTACGTCTGAACAATGTATATCTGCAAACTTATGAAAAATAATGATATGACACTAAAAAAAACAGATTACTTGCATTGTATTGATGCCTGTAGGTCAAACCGTAGTTATAAGAAAAGTTATGATATCTAATTCAGGCACTGATTACTTCATCAAGATATCTTTCAGGATATAAAACAAGTGACCTTCTGTTAATCAATGACAAAATGATAGTGAAATAAGAGTCGAGGTGTAGTGTCAGTTATTATGCCAAGCCCATATACCTTATTCAAGCTTTCGGACATCCCATTCTATTCATTTTACTTGAGCCATACATTGACCTTGTTATTTATTCGCTTATCAATCTAGACTGTTTTTATATGAGCGTATATGTGTGTGCCCTTCTTATCCTATTAATCACATGTCTGTAGCTTTATTTTATCTGACTATAAATATTGAGTCTCGTTTCATCGAAAGAGGAGTTGGCTTCCCAGCCATCTTCCATACGTGTCATTTTTGCTTTGCTATGCTTCATTCGCTTCATGTACGAAATATATGTGTTCTCAAGTCAATTCTCGTTATTCGACTTATTTAATTCCGTTATTGGATAACGCGATTTAAGTCGACGATGATATACGAGAAAAGGTGATAACAAACACACATACAATATAAATGGAGTCAGATCAAACAACGGACCACTAAAGTGGTGAGCCCTTCAACGAACATCTTCTGATCTAAACGACGACAAAATCAAAATGACGGGCCACAAAAGAGGTCAATACTAAATGACTTGTTCAAGAATTCAGTCCTTATGTGCTTGCTGGCCAGTACGGAATACAAAGCAGATAGTAGATAATTTTTTCATTGTGCGATTCAATTTTATGACACAACTAATACGATAAAATAGAGTGAATTCTTTATCACACATCATTATAAAAAAGGAACTGCAATATTGGTACCTTTATACTATAAGTTGAAGAGAATAAAATGATAGGTTCGCAATTGGTTAACACCAACTCAAGAAGAGTAAAACATTCAGCATGTATTTATGTATCAAACGAGAGCTTTCAACTAAGGGAATACAAACACACAATAATCCGGGTATTTAATAATTGTACAGTAAAAGTATGAAAAATAATTTCCGGTAGAATAGTTACGAAAGCTTAGCTGAACTCAGTATTAATTACTTTATGACAAACACTTACTGATTGTTATTGATATCACAAACTGACTTAAGTTAGATATCCAATGAGAACCGAAAATCATCGGGCACATGTTTCATCCTAGTATATTACTCCTCAGTAGTGCACGTCACGACCCCACCACAGGAAATCGAATCCAGGAATTCCAGTTCCATGTGTGTTTAACCTCTAGACAAGTGACCCAGAATTTAGCGATGTATATACTTAACTTCAATCAATTCGCAATATTGCTCAAACATCCCTCTAAACTGTGGGTGAGTAGCCGCCTCATACCCGACATGTTTGGACCACATTAGTCATTGTTTCTCCCTAGATTTTCAAAATTACTTCTTGAAATAAGATACTGGTGAAAACAGGACATTATCGAAGGTTATTAATTTTATGAATCGATCTAGGTTGGAATGAGAAGCCCTATGTAACTGTTTCGTCCTTGGATCGAAACTCCTACCGCAATTGTATTTATCTCTACCTCATTTGGTTGATCTGAGAGACATAATTTTACTTTATATGACGAAATGAAGAATGATATATACAATTTTAATTCAGATGATCGACTATTGGACTAGTTTGAAAAAGCAAACACTGGAAAATTAATACAACATCACTATACTGTGTTTTTTGTACAGAAATGATGGTACCGTCGACTGATTTATAATTTTCCGTTACAGTCTACCAAAATTGTGAGATGACATTCTATTTCACGTTTATTTCTTATAGATTAATAAAATTGCGGTATCCATGCCAAACACCTCATTAAATAAGCATTACTTGAGTATGATTTTGATTCATTGAAAAAATGAACTGTATATATAATTCAGCAATTCAATTATTTCCTTAGGATTTAAACAGGATATTTACTTATTGTGCTAGCGTCTTAATGTTGGAATGATGATAGCTATTATTTACATGGGTATGTTTTATTATATTGCTAAAGGATATCTGGGTGAAGAATGAAAAGTCGTATCTGCAGTAGTTCAGTCTTTCAAAGTGAGTGAAAAGATATGAGCATGAACCGCAAAATTTTTCTTGAATAAAGGACAGACGAAAAGGAAATCTCTTCCGTACGTTTAAACTATCTCGTGTATCGATTGAGAAAGGGGAGAAATTATTTCTTATTTAGCATTTCTGTCGTTCAGTCTATAAAGGGAGCAAAATATTTGCCATTCACTAATTGATTTCTACTCAAACTTAAGAGAATAGGATGGAAATTTGACCTTGACTGGATTAATTTAATTGGTTACTAGAACAAGTCATCTCACGTAAAAACATAGCTGGGTTTGGTAAACACTCCAAGAACCTTGATTTATATCATTATCGTAACGTGAATCAATAAACTTTATTTGTTTTAGACTATTATTTGTCATTACATCAAATCTCATTGTTTAAAAATTACGTAAGAATTATGAGCTTTGGGAATTTCTTGAGACGCATATCATTCGACAGTGAAAAGGTTCATACGGACTCATCAGCTCCTGAAGGTAATGATCCACCTGGGATGAATTCATTTTTCACATCACCAAGTCGAATATTCGAAAGTGTAAATGCAAAAACAGGTCATCTAGTATCAGATTTAAATCAGAAATTAGATATCAGTGGCAAACTCGATTCGATTAAACAAGTTTCGGTTGGTAAACTGGAACATGTTGTACGTGGATCTTCTGTGAATCGATTAGATAGTAAAGATGAGACTCATAAAGATGATATTACAGAAAATATTCCTAGGATGTCCTATTTTGATCAAGATGTCAGGGATTCGACTACAAATCTTTCTTCACAGGCACCTTTTAATAATAGATCTATAGTGGATTTAGATAAATCCCAGACAGAAAAGTCTACAGGTTATGTTCATTATTCACCAAGTTGTGATTCACAAAGATCTGAAGAATCCCACTTAACACCAAGTGGTAGTGCATTGAGACGACAAAGTACACAAAATACTCCACGTCCACCTAGACCACCCCCTCCAAGTAGTGCAGCTTTGAGTAGAGCTATGAGCTTGGATGAAACAAATCTTTCTGCACAAATGAAATCATCTTCATTCCAAGAAGACAGAAATCAGTTAACAGATGAGCAGCCAGTCGATCAAAAATTAAGATATCCTGCAAAGGATCGCGGCCAATCATTTAAATTAATAGATGAACCACGTGTACTGCAGCAACCTAGCGCATCTGTAATTGAGGAGGAGGAAAACAGTTCAGCATCTGAATATGGTGAAAATGGTGATCAGCCAATTTATAAACAGGAAAGAGACTTAATACTTACCGCAAGCGGTCAAACTAGTTCTACAACGAAGTCATATGAAACTCAAAATATATCAACAGAAGATAAAACATTTGCTCCTCCATGTACAACTGTGCCAAACACACCTAGTATAGAAAAAATTCAAGAATTTATGGATTTATATACATCAGCTTTGATAATAGGCCGGTAAGTTTAAAACGATACAAGGGTAATGTACATTTATGGTCTTAAAACAATTGATTAACAATTTGGAATCCTAAATAATATTTAACCATATAGCTAATCTAGTTAAGTATCATTTGTTATCAAAAATTATTAGTACGGATTTAGAATTATGTTAGACAAAACAAACAGCTGTTTATACTATTTCTAACAGACTCATACTTTATAGTCGATATAATTTGTCACTGAAAAATATATCTCAGCTACAAACGCGTTTCTCAATTATTTCAGTATAAGTTACCCCTGGTAGTCTTATCTTAACAAAAATATTCACACTTGAATATCCCCTTAGTTTTAAGAGATTAGAGTTGCTTAGGGAAAAAGTACAAGTTATCAAAACCTAGCTCAAAATGACGTGATTCAAAAAGCTTAATGTTGTAATGTTTTGTAGTTTAGTGAAAAAAGTTACCTTCGTTTCCAGCATCTCACTTTAGAATTTTAGTGAACTGAACATATAAAAAATTCATGTTCTATGAAAAAACTTTACTTCAAATAACATACACAATGATTGCATAAGAAGAAATTTATTCATTTAATGTGGTAACTCTCTTGTTTACAAAAGAATGGAGGAAATTATTATGTACTACACGTATACATCAATGTTAAAATTGTGATGTCATGGCCAGTCAGTAGTAATTATACAAAACAAGGTACTGTGCATAATGATTTCACATGTAACTTACTTCCCTAAAACAAAAGACTTATAAAGTAGTATGATAAAGAATTGTGAACGAAGATATTTTCTAACAAGCCGTACCTAACTCCTACCTAATATAAAGCAGCGTCATTTACTGTTTTTGACTGATGGTCAGAAAATTATCACGTTATCCACGTGTTAGACAAAAGATGCTGTTGAAATATTCCATACCGTACTTAGAACTAGTATGACTATGATGAGATAGAAAGAGCTCTTTGATCAAATATAAAAGGATGCTTCATAATTTGATTACTGTGATAATGAAAAAACTAGTAGTAGTTTCTGTCCTCCGCTAAAAACAATATTGATTATTTTCCCTTTCGTTGGCATATTTAAATGTTTTTTTCAGCATAGGATTTTGTAAATTAGTTTACAAACTTTCGATAGGCTTAAAGGAATTTAACTTTTTCGAGCTAAATATCTTAATAGAGTTAGACAGAATAACAGCCTGTAAGTTTATTTAACTCAGTGTATAAAGGTACTCTAAGTTATGGCTTCTTTAAAAGTCTGAATAAATGAAATTTTTATTCCATCAAATTGATTTAATAAGGTTAATCAACATTCTATTGAATCAAATCAATAATAATTCATCATCATAATTCTCCGTTTGTCTTAAGAGTTTTATTTTGCCTAAGTGTAGCGATTCTGATGACCAAGTTCTTAATGGTTCACATATGTATATGAAATTATTGTATCATGGTAACTTAATAGTATCCAACTAAGTAGTAGTTGTATGTTCACCCGTAACTAGCTTTGAGTCTAATTTACAAAGTTTTAGTAATAAGTCGTAACTAAAAGAATTCAATAATGAGAGTTATCATTCACAACGCTTGATGATGACCTGACTACATAAAGGTTAGAAATGAGAAAGATTGGATTTCAACTGAATGGTCCAAATGTATTGTGGTAGCAGCTAAAGCTATAGATCTTAAGATCGATTCCATATCCTAAGGCACAACTTTCTAGGAAGTAATGAAATAATCTGAGCCAATTTTCTAGTTCATCTTAGTTTTTATTAATGTCAGCTGATGTCAGTTCATGATGAATGCTGTCTTCATGTTTAAAATACTCTGAAAAACTATTTAAAATCATGAAATGAAATTGCTTGGTTTCTGACGAAACTGAGTAATAGTTCCAGTGGGTTATCAAGTTAAGAAAATTGTATTCATTTTTAAAATGACTTGCCTGAGATACTTCACCTTACTAAAAGATTCTTTATTAAAATTATTTACCGATCTACACTTTCTTCACTGATTGTGATATGAAATAAACTATCTACTGTAATTTATTTCTTAATACTGTTACTTCATAAGAACTCATTTTATAATCCAAATCATTTTGAGACAAACTGTTCGATGATTAATCCTTTATACTTTTCTTTTGTTTTATACATTTAGATCGGATTATTTAAAGAGTAAAGAAAATGAATTACAAGAACTATTGATTGTAAGTTAACTATTTTGGGTAATTTCTTTCTTTCTCTTTTTTAAAAAAAACTATGCACAAAATTTATAACAGGGATTATTTGTGATATCATTTGGTCTGAATAAGTGAAGCAGAGAGATGGAACTTGATTCACACAAACTACGATTGTCAGGTCACTTATATTGATTATATTAGGAACTTTTGAAATGACAGCAATTAGTCTATTGGAAATCGACTTATCTTGAAAAATCGAGTTAGTCAAGTATAAATTTGTACGTGATTATTATCCATGTAATATATTTTTTCTGTACATGCCTTTCAGATGGAAGAGCGTGAATACTGAACATTTTTCTATTTTGATGTTTGTCTGATATACGTGTCAGGATTGATGCAACTAAGAGGAATAAATTGTTTCGATTACTGATAAATGATCACCTATCTTGGGGACACGGAAATATCCAAGATTAAGTTTTAAACACAACATATATATATTCAATATACTCTATTACTAAGTAGTAGTTTAACCAGACAGATTACAGTTTCAATGATGAACGAAGAGTTTCTTTTCGGAAAGTGATTGTTAGCTTTGTTAAGTAGTCTGTACGATTACACATTTTTGAGAATTATCAGCTCGATCTGTGCGCTTTGTTAATATTTTAAAAATATCTTAGTTTATTCATTTGGAACTATCTTTGAGCTCTATAAAATGGAAGCTGATACAAGTGTTTCCCTCGTGCACTTGTTACAGAATTGTTGTCATACATAAAAAAGATTATTCAGAGTTTATCCCATCGTTACCATTATTTGTAAGAAAAAACGTGGTGGCATGTTGCTCATATCATCATTGGCAGCCTCACCATGTCATACATAGCAGGAACATTTCACATTCATAACTTTCAACCTGATATTAAGTTACAGAGACAGTGTACATGTCTTCGTCTTATCATAGCAACAACACCGATTAATTTTTCTGTTCTCGTAATTTATGTCCATTTTAATTAAACTATCAATCATTAAATATGTTCACTTCATAATTACACAATTCATTTATCAGTTTTATACTAAATTTCCCAACTAGAACAATCTTTTCCTTCACAAAGTTTACCATCGTAACTTAATTTTTATCGGATATCAAAATAACGTTACAGCATTGAAGAAAAGTTGAATTCCGAAACAAAAAATTCGTCGTTAATGCAATTCCTGCCGATTTTATTTCCATTGACTTTCAGTTGATCAGTGTACATGTATTGTGAAGCTTTGTATTAAAAATCTTAACTCAAAGTAAAAGAATATGGTCTTTTATGTTTCAAACCAGTGACCCAAAGTTACTTTTTTTTCTTCCTATTTTTCCCTGATAAACTGATTAGTAAAATTATATCACCAATCGGTGACTTTATTAACACAAAACCGGTATGTGAATGTCACGGTGTCTAGTACTTTTGAAAAATTAAGTGAACAATATTTTAATTATTCCATAAAGGTAATAAAATTTCTCTACCTTGTCTGTTTATAATTTCCCATCTAGTTTCGATTCAGCAGTCTATATTGTTGGATTGAAATGTTGGGGTATCATAATAGTGTTATTCCATATTATGTAAATTTAACTACTTATTATGCAAATAAAACGTGATTGACATTTTAACACAATAAATTTTAAGGACTGATTTGATATGACTGTCATATATCATATGAAAATCCTTCATGTAGAACAGCTAATTAAAATAAATGACATATAATAGGTTTCTCTTTGTCTTTGTGGTCAAATCTAATTCTACATTCGTTGGTCGAAATAATCGTATAGTAGCCTAAGCTTTAACAGCACAGAACATATGGTATATGAAGGAACTTCCAGTAGTGTTATCAAAGTTTTGAACATTTGACACTGTCGTACATAATATTAGCACTTTTTCTGGCTTAATTACTGTCGCTTTAGATTAATTAAATGCTTATTTTATGGGAATAATTGCAATAAATTAGTTTTCAAACAATGTTTTTTTGCCCCTGATGTTCAGGGGTATGTTACATTTGCCAAGTTATTTATAATAATATTTCCATAAAACTGATATTACTTCTAATTAATTTCTGACCACTTTGTTCCTTTCACCATTATTTTCATACTTCTACGCATCTATTTATGGATAGATGCCAGCTGGGAGAATCGCATTTGTTAATGCGCTAGAACAAGAGGTGAGTTGATCAAAAAGTTGAATGAATTTAGTTGGTATTTTCATTTTATTTTTCGACTCTCATTTGAATGATACAGCATATAAAGGCTACTGTTATGTATAAAAGACTATCATCCAATTTATTGTTCCCATTTTCTATATAAAAATGAGTAAAATCTAAACTTTATTCTATGAGAAATAAATTCATTTTCAGATACATCTCGTTTAATTGGGTAAATATCAAGTCTTTCTAACCCTTATAAATTTGTCGTCCATATGAGCACCTATATTGATACTAAATGTTGAAATAATTACCTGATTTTATGGTGTAGTAAAAGAGAAGTTAGTTTACTGGTCGAATTTTAAGTTTTTTTGCCACTTAACGAAATGCATTCTATTCAACTTAAAAAACTAAATATGCTCTTTTAAGATTTCAACTAGTGTTGATCAATATTCTGTTTAGAGATATTTTTCACAAGCTTTTCACTAAAGCACTCTGGAGCAAACTACACAGAGGATATATTCTTAATAGTATAGGTAATCGTGGGTTCTAATGGTAGTAATTTCAGTTTCTCTCAACTTGATCATATCCTGAATGACGTGAAGATGATATTTTTTAATATACATTAATGCGAGTTCTTTTTTCGACCGTAGTTAAGCCTTAGTGAAAATGGAATGAATAAAGTTTTTGTCATTCTATCTTTATATTAGTTGTTAGTCAATCTAAACTTAGAACTATCTTAATAACCATTTAGATGCAACTCCGTATCCATCCGATCAAACTACTGGAGATGATTAGGATCATTTGATGGTACTTCCATGCCTTAGTGATAATGGATTACCACTGACTAAACTATTTGACGTTTTTTAAGGAAAGAATTTTCAAATGTAGACCATATTAAAATCTAATGACCTGATTGGGTGTCTTTTCGAAATTCAGAAGAGTGATAACCTGTAATTCAACTTTCTACTTCATTTCTATGCTCTCATCACTCGATAATTTTGACTAGATACTTTGTATAACAATGATATACTTATAGTCTTATTTTAAGTCTTAGTTATAAACATTAAGGTTCTAGTTTACCTATACTACTATTTTGAATGATTAATACACTCTGCTCGAAACGGGTATATTCTTGATGGTACTTCAAACTGCAGTTTTGAACTATGTAATATGTTTGATGAAACTGTGTCAATAAAGACTGAATTTTATTTAAAATCTTTCTATCAGTTTTCATCTAAAGTTCAAAGAGTTAGAATCTAAATTGTTACTAAGTTATTTAATTACATTATATTTAATACTCGAGTAAAAGTATGAACAAAACAACAACAATCTATCGAACGCAAAATTATCTTTGGGAGGAAAGTATAATTTTAATAAATAATGAAAATAGAAGACAACAAATTGAGTAAATTATTTATTCTTTTTCATTTATTTTTGTTTTATTATCGAATTATGAAAATTATTGTTCTTACTAATAACACTTTTTTTGTATTTTCTTACTATAAGAGTGACATATTATTTTAATTGTGTGAATGATAATAACAAAACAAAACGATTCACTAGTTAGAATCTAATTCATTCCCTGCATTCTCTATTGGCATTATTCCACAAGTGGATAATTTCATCAAAGTTGTTATTGTTTTTTTATTTTGTTGGTGGAATTCTTTCGTAAATAATATTTTCTCTTTTCAGTTTTTGATTATATTTGTGATAAAAGCGATAAGGAATACAGTAGGCAGTCAATGAAGTATATTTTGCATACTAACATTTGTTTAAACTTTATGGAGATAAAATACTGATAATTTCATGCCTAACATATTCAAATATATGCAGAATTTATCCACACCTAAATGGATAGCTTGTAAACATTAGTTCAATTTGAAATGTTCTATCTTATGTTGAACAGGACAGTAATTAAATAAGGCACATAATCACCTAAATATGTGATAAACTGAGTGGAGTTTTACATCTAAAATGTTGAATTCCAGTTGGTGTCCAGAGGTATTGAACTTACATACAGAGTTGAAATTCCTTGGTATGGTGGCGTTTAGGATGGTGGGTGACCAATCTAGAGGAGCACCAAGCTAGGACAAAAGATATGTCTGATTCTCGCTACTTTCAAAAGTTCTGTTGCTAATATCATTCTGTAACGAAAGTTTTCTTTGTCTATATAACACTGAAATATGTGCATTAAGTAATTGCTAAGTGATAACCGATCGTACATTTGTAAACAAGAGTAAAAATTGTTATTGAACACCCAAAATTGTGATGCGTTTCCATGGTTGTCTGTGATAACTTTCTATGGAAAAATATATTATACTCGTGAAGATTCAGATTGAGAATGTTCTAAAATTGAAAACATGCTTAATACTCCTTCAAATCGAGTAACTTCCCAATTTTAATTATGTTTAACAAGACCAAATATCAGGTAAATGACTTTGTTTAAATATTTACCGTACTTGATTCATTTATCATAATTTGACCAGCATTTATGAAAGGTTATTAAATACTTTTGGTTTGGTTTTAAATAGACACTTGATATACTTTTCCATTTATTATTATGTCTTTTCACTAACATCAGTCTCGTCGTACACAAGGTTTGGTTGATTTACAAGCATTACCAAAACTACTTGATCAAATAAGTTTATTACTTGTGGAATGTCAAAACGCTGAAGACTTTCAACCAGCTAAGAAACTTCTCTCTATATCACTGAAGTTCTATACTTATGGTAAGTTTTCGATATACTGCTGACGTTTTGTATCATTTTTTATTGAGATAGTTTGATTTTCGATGCATTCCGATTTATAGTTGTTGGTATTACCGTGAAACATTCAACAGAGCTTATTGATTGACTTCATTAATTCAACCTTGAACTAATTAGATGTAATGTCAAACGACACAGCTTGTTATATTTCAAGTCATTTCATATATTGGTTTTTTGTGATAACCCATAGATCCATCGGTATCCACGGACCGAACCTTTATTTTCGTGTATATCAAAAGTCAACCAATTTGGCAATCTTTAAGGTTTTGGAATGCCTGCTTTTTCCAATCTTTACAGGAGGCACGTTCAAAGGCAGAGGAGTCATCATATGAGTAAGTCGTATAACATTCAATTATGTCTAATTTGAATTTTACGATGGATGATCAAATCCTATGTAATTTCACTACTTCAATAAAAAATTCAACAGGTATTAATTAGTTGTATCTAATATTTTTTTTGGCTTGGTTCATTGTTCATTTATTAAAATAAACTCATTATTTATTATGGCCTTTATTACAAGCGGCTCTTAAATTACTGTAAAACTCAGTAATATATACACCATGATTATATCATTTAGCTCATGGTCATAGTACACAAATTCACGAATAAAAATTGGAAAGCATGAAACGATATAGTTTTTCATCTAATAGAGGGTTTAATTAACCTCATTATTTATATATTACACTGAATACTTTAAAAAGATGAGACTTTTTTTTCCAGTTTCATAAAGTAACAGTGTCTACTTAGTATATTATTGCTCAAATGTCTGCTCTTAATTTAGATACTAAAAGTTGTAACATATCAGCAGTTAACATAAAAGTATTTCAAGACTATTTAGTGACTGCTTCTGGCCAGTAATCAAACTTTCACAAAAAGATATCTCACTATTTATTACACATAAGTTTCCTATATACTAACAGGGTTGTATCGAAATTTCGAAATCTATAACCTTGAAGTGTCTACTTCATTGAGAACAATAAGAAGCCTGCCAAATGTGATTCACTATTGTTTTGAGTTACAGACTACTTGTTAAGTCTTCTTATACGATCAAAGAAATTTGTTCAATATCACAAATTAAGATAGCGAAGTTCAACATTCTGTTGAAAGTTTACTTCGAATTTTTTTAGGTATTTGAGTATTATGTCTCGTTCACTGATTATTGTTAAACATTTGGAAAGAGTTTTCTTAATGGTTCTATATTAATGTTCTGTATATTAAATTCATCAGAAAGAATAAATACGACCAAACTCTGTGATTCAAACTGCCAATAGAATTTGTCATTAATTGGAACTTTGAAAGTAGTAAGTCTTCTTTAAACTCAGTCTGAACATCCATTTACTAATTAGTAAAAAATCCATCTAAATTATGGTTTCTAGCAAGAGAACGACATGGTCCCTTTGTTTTCAAAATATAGTTGCTAGGTATCGAGTTCCGATTGCACTCATCCTAGTAGCAACATAGTATATTGCAATCGATTTAGTTTGAAGTAGTCATCATACGAAACATTTGCTGTGTACATACGAAATTCCAAATGCGCTGTCAGGTTCCCTTAAGGGTGAAATGTCTGGTCTAATTCCGTGAATTCTTCATCATTATTGGTTTTTATTATTGAAAAATTTGCCTCACCAACACTTTACAGACAAATACTAGTTTGGTAAAGGTCCCATTTAATATAGCCTGTAGCTTAGTAACCAGAGGATAAAAAAGGCTGAACTAGTAAAAATATTTCAATCAAACTATTAGTTATTATCTACTCTGACAAACAACTTACAAACAAATACCTATCTTCTTCCAATGTACCTACTTGCGTACCTACATGCATATATATATATATATATATATATATATATATATATATATATATATATATATATATATATATATATATATATATATATATAATACAGTTGACGTATTTTCAACGGATTATATTGATTTAATGTATTTGTTCTATATTGATTATAGGTTAAGTAAACTAACTATACAATTAGGAGTTACAGAGATATGAAACTTCCATCTAAAAGTTTCCTTACAAGATATTTTAAAAAATGTGACTTTATTTTTTAAAATTAAAGTAACAATGTCCTTGACCGTGATAGAGACTGATTTATTTTAGTGTTGTTGACTATCTTTCTTTCCTTGAATAGATTTTGTGTGTGTTTACCTTTATCAATGCCCAGTAATTAAAATACATCAGAATCTTAATTAAAATCTAATTTATTTTCAAACATGTATGAGTATGGAATAGAAATAAAGTCGTAGTGTATGTAGACGGAAATTAATTGACTAAATTAATTATATCTTAGAAAATATCAACAGATCTATGTAATTAACTTAATAGAAAAAGAGTCAGAACTGATATTCAACTAATCAGGTGACTAGTAATCTAAGGTGAAGATCAATGTCCTAGTACTTTTATAACATCTAACTTCTCGTGGGTGATATTCTAAGGAAAAAACGTTTGTTGGCAAACAATTAACTCGTGTATAGTTTTTGTTTGGAGCATTTTTTTAAAAGATTTTTTTCCACGTTTCGTTGCAGTCACACACAGACAACTCGTGATATAGTTTGGCATTTTCTCTATTCTTGTGTTTTATGTTTAATTAGTAGGGCTCTGTGTATAATATATTTTATATGCTGATGTCATTAAAATCAATTCGGATCATTATGTGTCTTGTATGACTGGATTAAGTTTTCACACTTTTAACATCAGAAGAACTGTTAACATTTACAACATAGACAACAGATATGCTGCACATTTTTCGTAAGATCAAAATCGCCATTATTCGGTTTGGCGGTCGAACACTCTGTAGTCACCCTATCTATCTTAATTAGTGCTTAAGAATATTCAATACAAGTACGTAGACTGATAATCGTCAAACTAACAGTTGATAGAGTACGATTACGACAAATTTATTCTAGCAACATTATTGTGCAGTTCATTCGATGAACTTAATTTAACAGTGAAAGCCAGAAAGGATCCTACTGATAGTCAAGTGCAGATCAGTTCGCAAAGCCATCCCACCTTAGTTTAGAGAGATGCTCATCATCACACATACAATTCTAAAGTTAAACCGATGAGCTGGATTACCTTTGTTGAAATTTATTCTCAACAAACTGTGAATCATTTGTGTATACATTATGTATAAAAATTGACAAAAGCTAGAATACAAACTTTTTTTGTAGCTATTCACAAATTATCAACATTTAACACAATAAATCGATTTCGTTTAGAATACTTACTTACTTACGCCTGTTACTCCTAATGGAGCATAGGCCGCCGACCAGCATTCTCCAACCCACTCTGTCCTGGGCCTTCTTTTCTAGCTCCATCCAATTCTTGTTCGTTTCTCTCATGTCTATTTCCATTTCCCGGTGTAATGTGTTCTTTGGTCTTCCTCTTTTCCTTTGGCCTTCAGGATTCCATGTGAGGACTTGTCTTGTGACGCAGTTGGGTGCTTTCCTCAATGTGCGTCCTATCCACTTCCAGCGCTTCTTCCTGATTTCTTCCTCCGCTGGGATCTGGTTTGTTCTCTCCCACAGTATGTTGTTGCTAATAGTGTCCGGCCAATGGATCTGAAGTATTTTGCGTAGACAATTGTTAATAAACACCTGTATTTTCTGGATGATGGCTTTCGTAGTTCTCCAGGTTTCCGCCCCATACAGTAAAACTGTCTTGACATCTGTGTTGAAAATCCTGACCTTCGTGTCGGTTGACAGTTGCTTTGAATTCCAGATGTTCCTCAGTTGTAAATTTCGTTTAGAATAAATAAGGGTAAATCATACAGTCGGTTGGTTTCAAGTTGGAAACATAACCATTAAGATACCGCCAGGGTTGCTGTTACTACTTAACTCATTAATGAGTGATGTGGTGAACAACTTGATGTCTATGTTGATGATAACGAGAAATAAACTTAAATGCACATGCGAGTAAATTACTTCATAATTACAATATTAGTGCTAGAGCTCTGTTATACTAATTTGTGTTCAACTTTCAACGTAGAAAAACTCAGTTTTTACTAGTAATGTAAACCTCAATTTCTTTAGCTCATATTCCTTAACTTAATTATGTTATAGTATGACACTATTTTATCTTTTCAGAGCAAAAAGTGGTTTAACATTATACAAATACAGTCTATCATTTTTAAGATCTAAAGACTAAAGTAACTATATTCAAGCGGTCCATCAAAATGATTTTGGTAAACCAATTGCTGGTTAAAGCATCTAACACACTCGTTTTTGAGTTAATAAATTTTGAATTTTATTTCTACGAAAGTCATTATCAGCTCCCTGTTGCACAGTTGCGTATTCATTGATTTGTGATTGTTTCTGGACCGCACTAGAAATAATCTGTTCGAAATCTTTTTTGACTTAAATTTATACAGTTTCAGTTATTATTGCCATATATATATCCCCTTTGATTATGAATACAAGGTGAGTCAGCGCTATCATTATCAATGAGAGTTTAATTCTCTCTGAAACGCGCAAATCAGACCATGTTAAAAGAGAATCACAAAATTTATAATCTTCAAAGACTGATAAGAGATGGAATGGTTTAAGTGAAAAAAATTATATTCTCAGAATACTTATGATTACCATCATTATTGAGATCAACATTATTTACTGATTAAACAGTTGTTTAGGATGAGTTATTGAATGTCACCAGTCGTTTGTTTGAATCTGACATATATGAGCTCTTGAACAGACAACTGTTTACAGTATTTCTTTTTCTTTTTCTAAGTCACTGGCGTTATGGCTATTGTTAATTTATCAAAGGGATAGTTTAGTTAGGAAGAACCAATTGGTTATCAAACAATGTGTCGATCGAAAACTCTTACACTCCTTTCCTTTTACCTCAACAGTAATACTTAATTCTCATCTGTCGCTTGAATAATTTCTTACTAACTTGCCAGTTGACATTTTATTAACACTTGCTTATTAATCGGAAACAGGATTAGTAACCCGTTTACCATTTTCTAAAATTTAGCACTCTTAGAGCTTATACAAAATTCATTTCTCTCTTTTGTTTCAAAACGAGATCCTACTAAGCCATTTAACTTTTGTTTTAATCTTCAGTACAGTTGTTTATTAAAATTTCACATCGAGAAAATATGAATTTTATCATTGATCAACATAAGCCGAGTATGTGTCCATCAATAATTACTTTCTGCATCTTTTGGCAATGAACGTATTCACTTTAATCATATTTCCCCCGCAGATATTTCAAGTCGTGAAAAAGTATCTGAATGCTTGACATTCAAGATTATTAAACTCCACTTCCTTGTCCATTAACTTCAAGTAGACCAATATGGGTCAGTAAGTGATGAGGATTTGTTTTAATTTACATCCTAAATTGTTTTTAAACACTATCTCATTTGTTTTGTTTTTCCAAGTTCAACTAAAGTATCTTCTTCGACAACATACGATCAGTTAAAGTAAGTATACAATTTTTTTAAAATTTCTTAATATCATTTAAAAGTCAAAGTGTATGGATTCTTTTATTATCATTTTTACAGTGAGTAGGCGATATTGTAGGTATACTATTCAAAGCTAATTTTAATAAAAATGAAAGGATTCTGGATCTACATTAAATTTCATAGCCGTTTCTTTGACTGAATTTATCTGCATTCTATTTCGTACTTGTTAGTAACCACCAACTAGTTCAACTCGCAAAATTAAACTGATTTGATGAATCAATGCAAATAGTATATTCAAATTTGTGCCAGTAAATTAAATTTTGTAAAATTAAGAAATGGTATTCATACAACTGGTGAAGATGTTGTTCAGTGACCGAAGTCAAAACTTGTAACTAAATGGACATAATGTAAAATCAGTAATCTGATGGAGATATTGTAGTCATTTAAGATTCGGGTTTTCCTTTAAATCTCTCTCATTATTCTTATATATAATAAAGATACACAAAAATGAGCACGTTTTGTGAAAAGAAATCAGTTGTTTGTTTAATTACAGTAAATAAATTGCACTCACTTTGTGCGTTACGTTCGATTAGTTTAGCTATCGTACATATTTGCACAAACGATCATTTGCGAATGAAGAAAGATTTTTAGAGGTTGACCTACTGAATTTCTTTTAAATTGCCGTTTTCTCGAGTGGACTATTCAGTGTCAAAATAACAAACGACAGATAATGAGCATATCTGTTTAACATGATGTATATACACTTCAAATTATAAGAAATCCGATTTTGAATAAATATCGTATATGAACGTTGGCTGGTGTGTGCTAGTTAAAGAAAACATTTAAAAAATCCCAATATCCTGATTTTAAATACAAAGATACAGTGAAAGGGTAAACATTGAACAATTTACTCATATTGTTAACAAACGATCATAAAAAGGAGAAGACAGGAAAATATAGTTGAAATAATTGCCTGCCTTGCAAAATTTAGTTTCTGAGTGATGATAATTTAAGTTTGAATAACTTATTCAACTAGATTTCATACATCCAATTATGTATCTAAAAATGGTTGTAAATAGTGATGTCACATTTGTTTATAAAAATTTATTTGTCGGTGTATAAAATCTGTATGATCTGATTATTTAGGCGTTGAATATTTTGAAGATATACAGTTCTTGCAACAAAGGAATAAACATTATAGGGAAACTTAAGCAACAAACTTGCACTATTCAAACAAGAGAACTACTTTTAAGTCGGTAAACACCATAGATTGATTTTAGCCAAGGAACTATTAAAAAATGAGTGAATACGGGACAGTTATTTCGTCCTGTATGATAATGTCAGTAACTCATACCCACAGTTTTACGCCATACTATGTGTCATTATCTGCCCAACTTCACAGTCTAGTGATATTGAGGTCTAGCTTACTGGTGATAAGATAGTTTCAAACATTTGGGTGCAGAGTTAATAGAAAACATCAAAAACTACACTGCATTTGTAAAAATCTATTGTACTCGGACTGAACTGTCGAGTGAGATATTGGAGTCATCTTCATTTGAAACGCTGCGATCTTTAAAAATATGATTTCCTTTTTATTATTAATAAGTTATTTTAAAGGAAGAGGACAGCTTGACTGAAATATTTTTTTCGGTGTTAAAATAGTTTCGATTCCTATCCCCATTTGAAAAATTAAATTTCTCAGCTAATTCAACAACATTTTTGTTTATTTTCACAAATCAGTTTCTAATACTTGCTTGAATAATTATACAGAATGGATGAGGAATAATGTGGAAAGCGTTTGTGATTATATTATTCATAATGTGTTATCTAATAGTCGTTACTAAATACACACAGCAATTATCAAATAATTGTTCTATTCTCTACTTTCTGAATACAATAAATTCAGATCATATTTGCAGACGATGAATGTGTTCAGTTTGCACGAAACCATCAAACAAGAATTCTTGAGAAAACAAGCCGATCTATTCAATTTGAATGATGGTATGATATTTTGGTTTGTCATTAATATGATTCGATTTTGAAATGATGCCTGTTTGAATTTTAGTTTTATATTCGTACTAAAAGTAAGCAGAGACATATATTACAGTTGACGAAAATATTATGACTTCATTGAAATTAATTATAAGCGTGGTGGTTTACTTTGCCGTTCTACACGGAGACATCAACCTCTAATTCAAGTACGATTAAGGATTTAATAAATATATTTCAAGTCCCAACTTAGTCAGTTTTGATGACCCTATTGTTTCTATATGTGTTTACACTCTCATTAGCTGTTGTCTTATGTCAATCATTGACTATGTGACTTACAGATCAAATGAGATAAATGTTTAGAAAATTACTTTTATGGTTTAAAAATATTCAGGAATTGAATAAATAATGTTTCTCACCAAATTCTAATCTAATAGCTATTTTCACCTAATTATACAGAATAAACTGGCAATACACTTTCAGTGATATATTTTCTTATTGGCTATCTAATAAAAATACATAAAAAGACATTCGAGTCCCAGAGTGAACATCAACTCTGAGATGCAGGTACATCCAGCTGACGAGTCCCAAATTGGACGAAACGCGCGTACTGGATTTTACTGCTAGCCACTATCCATCATTGCTTACAAAAAGACATCAAAACATTGTTTGCGCAACACATTTCTTCAAAGCAATACTACTAACAAAACTATATTAAGAATAATTTTAATTAATGAAATGATTCGCTTACCACATAAGTTATTTATCAAATAATTATAACCAATGAAGTATTTCTTCAAATGTATATGCATAAATTGACTATTTGATTATTCTATTAATGTTTTTTTCCACCCAACATGTTATTTTATTTATATACAGATGAAATAAGCTCATTACTGTCGGTTATCTCGTCGGCAGATTAAACACCGAGATCGTTACTGTAATACATCAACCATATCTCAATTAAATGAACTATATTTATTCTTATTGAAGAAACAAAACACAACTTAATTATTCACTGGTTAATATGATATATTCCTATAAAAATTCAATTAGTTACATCTTATTAAATACTATCTGTTTCGTTTCTTGAATCATTTTTTTTAAAAATAATAAAATATTCTATAACAAATTGAATCATTTATATCATTTTCCAAGTATTTCATCGCATTTTCATTTTCTGAATTTGAGTTCATACTTATAATTGAAAAGCTAACTTTTGAACTTGGAACATTGATACTATTATTAATATTATTATTATTGTTGTTACAATTATTTTTATGATCAATATCTGTTAGCCTGTTAATATCAGTTTCTACATTTCATTCTTGTGTGTTTATGTGGACAAACCAGGAGTAGGTATTTGCAGCCTTTTAATCAATAGCTGTCCGTCGTCTGTAACCAGTTCTTTATTTTGAAAAGTCAGTCTCAGGCATTTGAACTGGTTATTTTCCAGATAGTTGTGTAACATCAATACATATTCAGTTTAACACATGAGTGAATCATGGATACAAATAAATGTAAGCACATGTTGAAAACTAATTTTCATTGACTTATCTTACCTCGATATTATAAAACTCATTGCATAACACCACCTTAGACTATTATTACCTATTTATCCTAACAAATATATGTTTAAAATAATAGTCTTTTTACAAATTTTTTGACGTTGCAGAAATGAGGCCGTTGTGTGAGGGTAATATTTAGCCACTAAATCATGTAAGCATACCATAAAATTATCTATAAATACGGAGACTTTAAAGTATTTGGTGGGATAATCGTTTTCAGGTTCGTTTACACAATACTAAAACGAATAATATGTTAGATTCGGTTGATTAAGTGAATATTTTCCTCATTCTCAAGCTCACAACTAACATCTCAACATATATATTTCTTCTCAAGAACTTCCTAAAGTCTACTTTGTTTATTCTGTACATAAATTATTTTTCATTTTTCGTAACCGGTGTGCTATTAATCAAACAGCATGCATTCGTATAAAACTTCAAACGTTACATATAGTTCTCCTCATTCGTCTTCAACTAATGTTAAACCTAAGAAGTCGTTAATGAACTTCAAAAGGCTGTGATAACAGTGATATTTAGTCACAAAATTAGATTAAAATATAAATTCGAAATACAATAAGTATTTTCCTTCATTTCTTTAGATTGCTTTTAACCATATTCTAGCAGTTTGTTTATTTAATCACTTTAATACTAAAAGTAGACCGCAATATCACCGTTAATTTATTAGTTATTGTTCGTAAACCTATATGTTTTTAGGTGAGATTAATCACGCAGTAATCTTATGCGAGGTTCCAGTGAAAGCCATTGAGGACTAGACAACTTTTTCATCCTAGTATGGAACTCTTCAGAAGTGCCCACACACGACCCCTACAGATCCATCAGGTCCCGTGTATTCCAGGCAATTTTAATTGCTATATTATAACGTTAATTCAATGTTTAAAATGTGTGATTTATGAATTTTATGCTGTGTATAATAATTTTAAAAGTCCGTATACATGTATATGATGAATGATACTACATATATATCATTTACAAATAATTAACAAACGATTGTTGAATCATTTTATAATGATACTTTTTTAAGCAACTGGAGAGCAAACAATTAAAAATTGAAACATCATTATTGATTAAATCACATTAAGTTCAAAGTTCTCTGAAACACCGAGGCATCAAACTGGTTTTTTATTATTATTATTATTATTATTATTAGCTTTATTCAATATTATAATTTTGGTACAATATAGAATTCTCAGCGCAAAGTATTTCAACAAGTTTCCGTTTCTTTCTTCTTAGTCGGTCCTGGCGATAAATATTGAGGAATCGCCAGTTAGATGTTAGCACTTCAGTGAATGAACAACTGAATAATGTACATTCTTTTCGTCGTACATTGCCAGCAACCATATTGTCTCTTATTGAGTTTTCTGTAACTTTGACAACGAAAGGTTGTACACTTTTCAGAAACGCAGCAGAATAGGTTATGCGATTAATAAACATAATGATATATTAAAACAAAACAACAATAGAAAACTTGTTGAAATATCTAGATGGCAGGAACAGGTAGCCCAGATGCTCAAGCAGGCCGCCCTATTTCAACATTTTGAGTTATTAACATAAATTTCATATCTCAACTTGCCCATTTATTCATTTCAGAATGATATTTTTACGATTCTTCTTTGAATGCCATATTAATTTTTTCATTAGTTAATTACTAAAATCCGTCTTAATTACTGAGGATATTTTGAAAGAGTATTTAATCTGTTAAACAATCAATTAAAATAAATACGTAAAGAAAAAATAATTAGTTGTTAGGATGCTGAAATGAGAAGTATAGAATTTTCACAGTTTTTGAAATCATGAGTCAGTTGAAGCTAGACCACCATTGAAAACCTGGAAGCACTGGACGGCCGTTTCGTCCTGGTATGGGACTCCTCAGCAGTGCGCATCCAACGATCCCGCACCACGCGGGGCTCGAACCCAGGACCTACTGGCTTCCCGCGCGAGCACTTAATAATCAACTGCTCACTAGTGACTGACTTCAAGAAAAACTCCTGAAGTTCTAGTGAGAAGCCGTTACCAGTGGAGTTCAACCGGTCTGTTGTGAGATAACAACTCACTGAAGACAATGGTGTACGGTGGCGCAACTTCGTGGATTGGTTGAAGTTAGACATTAACACCGTTGGATGCCGGCTCAGTGGTCTAGTGGTTAAGTGCTCGCGCGCGAAGCCAGTAGGTCCTGGGTTCGAGCCCCGCGTGGTGCGGGATCGTTGGATGCGCACTGCTGAGGAATCCCATACCAGGACGAAACGGCCGTCCAGTGCTTCCAGGTTTTCAATGGTGGTCTAGCTTCAACTGACTCATGATTTCAAAAACTGTGAAAATTCTAAAATTCTCCACAAAACCCATTCTGATAAGTATAGAATTCAAGAGAGATCAACAACATTTTCGGTAGCATTCTATTAGGGTCACATGATGTGATTGTTAGAACCCTTTGTCAATATAAGAAAACTAAACAACTAACGACGGTGATCCTGAAACGAAAACGCGAATTACCTGAGCAAGTTTTATGGATCAATCCATCTCCATTTATGTTGTAAGTCACATTGGTTGATGATCTAGAAACTTACTTTTCCTGTTTTGGCCAACATTTAAATTAGATTAGATCAATATATGTGACACTTTGCTCTTAGCTCAACAAGTCTGAGGTTTTTAAAAACTTTAAAAACACGAAGGGTCAGTGAAGCATCATTAGGCCCTAGGCAAATTATTAGTCAAGTTGAACTCACGCATACATTAGGAAACCGACCCCTAGACACTGAACGTTTTCTCTGGCCTCATGAAGGTCATAGATGAATCGTTAAATAACATAGGTCTAGCACTTGTACAAATTTTTTCCCATCTATACGTATTAGCTTTCGTTATTCTGCTGTGGTGTTTGAATGAACTAATGATTCATTTTTACTTGTTGAATACTTGATTTCGAATTCCAAATGCAGTACATTCGTTCGCGCTTATCTAGTACTTCTTGATCCAATTGCGTTATTTCTGGTATTCTTATTTCGTACTTTAATTCAAATACTCCTAATCATCACATTGGCGTCTCGATTGAGCCTGTGATGGAATTGTTGAATATACATTCAGATTTTGATGCTTTTGAGGATTACTTCGAAGGGTTCGAAATCTGGCCTACGGCCAAGGGAGATGATGAGGATATTAATATTGTAGCACATTTCCTCACATTCATCGGAAAAGCATATAGATTATTGAAAACTCTGGCTTTACCAGAAAAGCCCGTTTCGCTTTCTTATATAGCTTTCAAGGATCTAATGCTAGACTATGTTAAGTAAACAAAGTTCGAATGCGGTAAAGGAAGATTTCGTAAAATGATTCATGAGGATGTAAAAAATTCCACTACATTACGTCACCCCAACCCAGTGCATAATCAAGGTTATGCAGATGATTCATCGAGGAGTTGCGATGCAGTTCACGAAGATGGGCACAAGTTTGCTCAATGTTTGTCCTGTGGCAGGTTCCACTCTTTTAACTCATGTAAATTTCGTAATTCTAAGTGCTTTAAATGTGGTGATATTGAACATATTCAGTCAGTTTGTAATACTACTGTTCATCTTACTGCAACTAATATTATGTCCTGTAATTCTGATTATATTAAGTTGAGTATTTATAACGATCATTTATCTTTATCAACGATTTCAAAAGACAGTGTAGAGTCATATAGCAGTTCAGAGTTAGGTGAAACTCAGAATTCTTGCGAGACAACAGTTTCTAATCAATCAACTTATCAAATGTCATTGTACCAGATATGGTATTTCCTAATCATTCACTTATTTCTGACGAAATTCCTTGCCAATCTGATGAAAATATTTTAAATGAACCTAGTCATGATCAAAAACCTGATGTAGTTTTGATAGATGCTGATTTTTCTAGTGATCCTTTACTCTGCAATGACATTCTTAATAAATTGGAGGAAACTATTTCAGAAGAATCAAATCTTAATGTTCTATCAAATATTATTTGTCCTCATAATGGATTTATTGCTCTTGGGAAACTTGTACAATACGAAGCACAAGTACTAAATGAGCTCGATTTTGATTACTATTCTGATGATTTCATATCAACTGCTGTTTATCCTTATCACGAAGTCACTTCTAATGTTTACTCTAACCAGTGTGGGAATGGAAGCCTTATTATTCATAACTTGGGGATATAAAGATCCAATATTATTTCGTGGGGGAAGATAGTCTAAAAGTCTATGGTTCAAATTCTAGGTAGCAGCGGTTTCAGTACACAACCGACATGCTGATTACACAATCCAAGGAAGCAGGTGAATCTGTTCCAATTTCGGTTGTTAATTCTAATACTAATGAGCACATTCTAGATAATACAGAGTTTTTATTCAGTACAATGTCGGACAGATAAAGGATGAACTTAAGAAGAAGACGTACAATCGATTACAGACACTTAGACTCTAATTTAAGCTGTGGCGGATATGGTGTTTGAATGAAATAATGATTCATTTGTACTTGTTAAATACTTGATTTCGAATTCCAAATACAGTAATAATAATAATTTATTCTGAAAATAATAATTACAGAATTCACGCCAGTTTACAGGCATGATCAGTTTGATATAAATAGTAACATTAGACGTGCAGAACAAACATGTGATAGAAGAAAGTTTTAAGTAAAGCAGTTCAGTAATTGTTTAGGTAGCACATACATTACAGCGATCCAATGCATCAGCCGGTAATTTTTAATATTTCTTAAATGGACAGCCTGTTGATTTATTAACGGAGTAATTAAGGTCAATTCGTGTGCCAGATCGAATTAATGATAATTATCTACAACTAGAGAAATTAAAACGAAAACAGAGAACACGGAACAACAAAGAAGTAATTACCAAAATATATCAATCAGGTCTACCTAAATGCGTGTGTCATGTGACATGTGATATACTGTTGATGTTATTCAAATTAGTTAAACTTGCTAGGGACGGTGTTAACATAGAGTGACAGCAGGTAAGTGGTTTTACTTAGGGAATTCATTAATAAGAATGGCTAAACATTTAATGTTCCTAAAATATCACTTGTGGAATGAGATACACTTGCA